CCCCCCCGTGCTACAGAACAAGCCGTCAAATTCATATAGCTGACTATTACACTAAGATACTGTGCTAATGTCAGCATTTCTCTGACCTCTGACCTACCCAGATACAGACATAGAGAGAAAGACCAAGAGAACCTCCTCAGAGGAACGTCAGTGTGCATTTAAAGCTTGGATGAAATGCTAGCTAAACCACATCTTGGTTAAGGATATGACAAATAAGCAGTCTTGTACTTGTACTGAACGAAAAAAAACAAACTCCAAAGCCAAATCAGTCATGAAGAAAGAATTAATTTTTAATAGCAAAAATAAGCATCCCCTCCAATCTTGTGCATTTGTTTGCTTCCAGACTTTTACCATTTCAGAGACTGGAAGAAGTGTAATCGTCTTTCTTTGTGTCACTGAGGCAAGCTAATGCACACCTACCCTGTGCATTTCTCCATTTCTTCAGGTTTTCATTCTTCTCTCCCTTCCTGTCCCCACCAGGTGAAAGAGTGACCAGGCACTGTGTGAGTGTGTGTGTACACAATAGCAAAATGGGCAGGGTCTTTAATGTTTCTATAAAAATTATTTCTAACACTTTTTGTTAAGGCAGGAGAACTGGGCCTTCAGAGTGCATGACTGTACAGAGAGAACGGAATTTTAAAAGCACAAAATCAGCATCAACAGCTACTGATAAAGCTAAAATTAAGCACTGAGAAATCCACCTTTGACAAGAGTTTATTTAAGTTACAAATTTTAGGTCCAGCCTACCTAAGTAATTATCGTAAGTTTTTAATAAACCCCCTCCTGATATAAAAGAGTCTATGCATTTTAAGAGGCAAGAGAAGAAACAGCATTATTTCTTACATAGATGGGGGTTTCTATAAATGATAGAAGAACTTCCATATCAATTTGTTTCTATATCAGAAAGCTTTTTAAAAATTCATTTGTTAGCATACAACAACAATAAATAAAAGCCACTTTAAGGTTTCTCCCACTGTGATGGAGGGTGACATACGCTGTATCCAGGTAATAACCAAGTTAAGTAAACAAACTGCAGAGTAAAAGGCAGAGAACTACCCAGGCCTAAACTACACAAGTCCCTATAGGTTCCACACCTCACTGAATGGGATTCCCCAGCTTCGTCATGAATGAAGCTATCAGACACAGAGAAAAGTAGTTTCCTTACAGCATTTCATAGGGCAAAGGCTATTTCCTAGATTTTTCTACACTTGTTAGGTGGATGTGGCTACATCGTAATAAAAATCAGTACTGTGGTGACACCTTGTGACCAGTCTCCTCAATTACACAGAACAGTTGCTTATCCAAGACAGATGTTCGTTTGTTACACCTGCAGGAA